GGGGGTAGGGATGGGGGGAAGGAGAGGAAGAGGGCCGGATGCGAAATGGGGCGCTGGGCCCCGGGCCCCTGGCCAACTGCCGCCCTCTATTTTCAGGCTGGCTCGCTCCACTCTGACTCTGGTGCCCCTGCTGGGTGTCCACGAGGTCGTGTTTGCTCCAGTGACGGAGGAACAAGCCCAGGGGCAACTGCGCTTAGCCAAGCTCGGCTTTGAGATCTTCCTCAGATCCTTCCAGGTGCTCTTTGTGGGTGCAGGCTACACCGGTCCATAGGGGCCCTTCTCCCCAGGGGGCAGGAGGACTGCAGTCATCCTCTGACCTAGCCACTGAGTTGGGTGTGGCTATGGGAATTTGTTCATTCATTCTACACAAAATACTGAGCTGGTGCTGTTCTGAGCTGAGGAAGCAGCAGAGACCAAGACAGGAGGCCTCAGCAGTACTGCCTCTTGGTGAAGATCTAGGGCTTTGAGACCCGACAGGGCTGGGGCCAAATTCCGGTGTCAGAGCTGGCTCTGTGGCCTTCACCTCAGGGTCAGAGCTAGGGCGGGAAAGGGAAGTGCTTAAAATGAAAAAGGTTTAACACTGGGCCAGACACTGTAACTTCTTGCAACCTCAATTCTCACAACCACCACTGTATTACCCCATTTTCCAGATGAAGAAAGTGAGACCCAGTGGGGTTAAGCAGCTTGCCCAAGTGGGACAGAAAGTAGGGAAGCGGTTATCACATCCAGGGTGCTCAGCAAACTGGGGAGGGCAAGAGGGGGGCTGGGGGCGCCAGGAGCCAGGGAGGTGATTGCAAAAGTCTAGGCCCTGGGCAGCAGCAGCCGAGGTGGTCTTGGGCCTAGCAAGGGTCCGAGCTCCTAAAGAGGTGTTTATAATTCTGCCCCAACCCCTGATTTAACACCGCGCCTCGTTTGGCAGGGCTTGCTGGTCAGCTTCCTCTACTGCTTCATCAACAAGGAGGTAGGGAGAGCCCCGGCTCGCCGCCCGCGCCCTCTGGCGGCCGCGCCGGGAACGGCATCCCGACTGAGCGCCGGCCCGTTGCAGGTGCAATCCGAGGTCCGCCGCGGCTGGCACCGCTGCCGCCTGCGCTGCAGCCTTGGCGAGCCGCGCCAGCCCCGGGAGCCTGCCTCTCAGACCCTGCCGTTGGGCTCCAGAACCTGCCAAGTTGCCACTGGTCGAGTCCCATCCTCGGGGAACCTCCCAAGGCCTGGGGATGAGGCCAGCCGGGTCTTGGAAAGTCACTGCTAAGCACCGGGATTCCTGTGATCACTCAGCATGTATTTATTGAGCGCCTACTGTGTACCAGGCCCCTTGTGGAGGGCACTAGGGAAATGGGGGGAAGAAAACAGCAGACAAACCCCTGCCCTCCTAGAGTTCACAACTGAGTGGGCTTAAGAGACCGTGAAGACAGGACGTCAAGTTATATTATACACTGTGGAATGGCTTATGAAGAAAAATTAGAAGGGGATCTAGGGTGGTCAGGGAGGGCATCTCTGAGGAGATGACATTTAAGCCATACCTGCAACAGGTAGACAGCTTTGGGAAGAACTGACAGGCAAGACTCTAGGCAGAAGGAACAGCACCTGCAGAAGCCCTGGGACAGGAAGGAGCTTGGTGATATTTTAGGAACAGAAAGGTGGCCTGTGTGGCTGAAGCTGGGGTGAGTCAGAGCCAACAGACGGAGAGAAGTGGGCAGGGGCAGAGTTGGGATTTTATTCCAGGTACATTGAAAATTCTTAGCAGGAGCATCTCATGAGCTAATGTGTGTTTTCTAATTTATTAATTTGAGAGAAACATCAATTTGTTGTTCCACTTATTTATGCATTCATTGGTTGTTTCTTTTTAAAAAATGTTTTAATTGATATTTTAGAGAGAAAAATCGACATGAGGGAGAAATATGGATCAGTTGCCTCCTATATGCACCCCTACCGGGGATCGAACCTGAAACCTGGGTATGTGCCCTGGCTGGGCATCGAACTAGCGACCTTTCAGTGCACAGCACAGTGCTCAACCAACTGAGCCACAGCAGCCAGAGCCATTGGTTGCTTCTTGTATGTGCTCTAACAGGGGCTCAAGCTCACAACCTTGGTGCATCAGGACAATACTCTAACCAACTGAGCTCCCTGGCCAGGCTCACGGGCTAATGTTTTAAACAGAGCCTTCCGTCTGCCCTGTGGGGCAACAGATTATTAGGAAGCTGGGAGCCCAGTGAGGAGACTGCAGGCAGGAGGTAATGGTGGCTAAACCAGGGTGGTAGCCATGGAGGAGTGTGAAGCAGTTGGACTTGAGCTATTTTAAAGGTAGAACTGAGGATCTGGCAACGGATTGTATCAGAAAGTTCAGCAAGGAGGGAAATCCAGGAAGACTCATAGTAGGTTTGACTGTGGAGAGGAAAAAGAGAGGGAGGTTGTGTTCAGGGTGGGGTGGACCAAGAGTGCTCTTTGGACACGTTAAGCTAGGACTAAAGGTCTGGAGCTCATGGGAGATCGAGTTGGAGACAGAAGTGTGAGCCCACTGGGGTCAAGAGAGGAAGATTCAGTGTAGATATAATCACAGGCATTCAGCTGAAACCTTGCATCCAGAGAAGCCAGGACCACTGCTAGCTGCTAGCTGGGGAGTGTGGCTGCACATTCCCACCCTCCTGGGTGGCCCCCTGGGCACTAGGAGAATTGGGGGTATCCAACAGCCACACTGTAGCTGGACCACCTATACATAAGCAAGACCCTCACTTTTAATCCCCCTCCCAGATACACACTTAAATTCAGTTATTACCCGGGTGTCATTTTCCTCAGGTCTCCAGCTTCCTGGACAAACTCAGTCCTTTAAGTAGGAGGTGGCCTTGCTCCCTTGGGGGTTCTGGAAGGGCAAGGTCCTTGTAAATAAAGCATGAGAACAGCTGTGTTTTGTTTTTTTTGATATGAGAGAGAATCTTTTGGGCCAGGTCATAAAGGGAAATGACTGAGGTGGGCTGCATGGCTGGGAGTCTGTGATGGCCACGTCCCCTGGGGGTAGCACTGCTCATCTTCAGCGACATGTTGCCATGATAACATGGACATCAACGTGGACATCGTGCCGTCACTCTCCCTCTGCCTAAGAGAAACCCCAAGAGGGAATGTTCATGTGATCTCTTGATGCTTAACTATTTGCAATGTATATAAATAAAATTATGTGTGTGCGCACGCACCAAACACTCTTGAGGGTTGCTTCTCTAGAAAGGTACTATTAAGATAAAGCTGCAAGCATTTAATGGCACAGAGGAGGTAACTGGGGGATGCTTCCCTTACTGAACAAATAGAAAAAAAGACCACAAGAAATTTCGAGCAAGGCTGACTCATCGACTCATTGAAAGGCAGGGAGAAAGGAGAGATGGAGTAATGAGTAGCTAGGAAAGATTAAGAGCAAAAACTTTCTGTGTCCAACAGACTCACTTCACATATGGGGAAACTGAGGCCTGGAAGAGGCAGAGGCAGGGCCTCGTCACCTGTGCAGAGAGGTACTGATCCCAGTGCTTGGACCGGTCCCAAGCCCAGCTGCCTCCCTCTGCCAAGCCCGCCCCACTAACAAGGCCCTGGGAACAGACAGATGCCACTAGAAAAAACACAGGATTTTATTGTTTTCATGTGGACAGCCAGGTCTTTGCAGGATGAGGGAGTGAGTTTTGGCGGCAGGGAGGAAGCCCCTACTTGCCAGCGATGAGCGGGTTCCGCAGGACCACAATGACTGAATCCCCACGCAGGAACATCTTGGAGATGTAGCGGTCCTTGTTGACTGGCTTGGACTTCTTCTTGCCCTTGCCGCTCTTGGGGACCTCGGTCCACATCTCCTTCACATTTTCCAGCACCATGTTGCAGTGCCTAGTGGGGACAGGGAGTGGGGAGGCACCAGGCGTGAGGGGACAGCCTTCTGACCTGCCGTCCTCTTTGAGGTGCTGCTTCCCTCCTGCAGCAGCAACGGAAGGCCTCGGAGGCTGGGGCAAAGGACACCATCCCTGTGCCACAGTTTCCTCTCTAAAATGGAGACATTCATGGTGCCCACCTCATAGGGCTGTTGTGAAGATTAAATGAATCAACACAGCATTCTTGTAAAGTACTCAGAACAGGGCCTGGCACAGAGCGAAGGCAAACAAAATGGTCCTGCCTGTGCTTTTTAATTCCCACCATTTCTGGAGGCATCAGCAAAGGAGTTGCTTCTCTTTGGAGACCAGAGGCCCCTGGGGCCTGTGGCAGCACATGAGCCTCCACTCATTCTGCTTTGTCCCTGTCCTCGGGGGGCTAGGTGGGCATGTGTGAAGATAGTAGGGATTAGTTCACTCAACGAATGCTTGCAATGAAAAAAACAAACACTATCCCTGCCCTCATGGGGTGTGCGTTCTAGCGAGCGGACCAGGATGCTAAGCAAGTGACCAGATACCTGGACTGTAACATGCTGTCAGGTGGTAACTGCTATGACGAAAAACTAAACCAAGGTGGAGGGATAAGAGGACATATGGAAATATCTACAAATGGTAAGAAAACAATTTTAAAAAATCAAGAATGAGGTGCTCTGGCTGGTATGGCTCAGTTGCTTGAGTGTCATTCCGTGTTGTTCTGCAGACCAAAAGGTTGCTGGTTCGATTCCCAGTCTAAACGTTAAGCCGTCAATCACCGCATTTCATTCCCAGAATGTAAACACGTATGACCTCCGCCTCTACAGCAGGACACCAAACACAGTGGGATGACTTCACTTACCCCAGGTCACACTTTAAAGTGGCAGAGCCTGTGTTTAAATCCACATCTATCTGCTTCCTTGTGCTCAGCACTTCCTGTTGTTCTTAATCTTGTTTTACTCAGAGGGAAAGGTTGGTTTGTGGTCATGTATAGCTAGTGGCTAACATGTCCCAGCATTCAGCCTCAGCACACGACTGTGAGGACAGCACTTTCCAGAGGCTAAAAAATTCAGCTTACATGTTTATTGAGCATTTATCATGTGTTAGGTACTGAGTCACGTGCTTTTCATACGTAATATCATCTAGTCCTCACCACTGTTCTACGGGGGGCATAAGAAAACTGAAGCTGAGAGAGAAAAATCACTTGCTATTGATTTTTTAATCAACACTCAGACCCTAGCTTGCCTGTTCATTTTATTCAGGTCTGTCCACTGCTGCCTCTTCAGATGGGGCCTCTTAACCAGATAAGACAGCACCCCCTTCCCAGTGCTCCATTATCCTTACCGGCTTTACTTTACTCCATAGAACTTATCACTTCTCGTCAGCTTCCCTACCTATAACAAGCTCCTTGAATTTAGGAAACACGTTTGTTTTAGTCATTGCAGTGTCTCCAGAGTCTAAAACAGTACCTGGCACGGTGCACACTCTAATTATGTAATAACGAGACTGAGAACAGCCTTGTGCCAGATGCCATGCTTCTAGTGACTTACTACATTTGACATGTATCAAGCCACTGAATCTTTGCAACCACCACGATTACTACCACTGTTCAGATGGTAGTCACTGGCCAAAGGTCACGTGGCTGCTAAGAGGCAGAGTTGGGACATGAACCCTTGAGGACTGGCTCCTAAGTAGATGCCCATAACCACTGTACTGCACAGCTGGAGGGGCAGCAAGAGACAGTCACACCTCGGGTTTTAAGGTACTTACTCTCCCAGCTTTTTTGAGAAACCTGGTATTCTGCCTCCTCATAATGGAGCTGGGACTGCTTCTCCAGGTCTGGCCAGAACCCCTCCCAAGACCCTGTCAAAAAGCCTTTACCTGTCAAAAGCCTTCACGCGGCCCAGGAGTTTCTTGTTGTTTCGACAGTTGATGAGCACCTGGGTGTTGTTCTTGACTGACTGTGTGAGCACGGATAGTGGGCCCGTGTTAAACTCCTCCTCCTCCCGCTTCTGCAGCTCCTCTGGGGTCATCTCACTCTTGGGTTTGTTGAGGAGGCTCCTGAGTGAGTCAGTATGAAACCATAGGTGAGAGGGCTAGGAAGCTGGAGCATGGGTGCTCATGACCTTGCACTCAGTGTCTTTCCAACCTTTCCCCAACACACCTACCCTCCTACTCAGTCCTCACTTGGCATCACCATTTGGATGCCTAATAAATTCCAGTCTTGCACATCCTAGGTTGAGCTCCACAATGCCGAACCACCTCAACTTATTCTATCCACAACCGTCCTCATCGCCATCAATGGTAACACCATCCTCCTAATTCTTTCAGCAAAAACTCTGATAGCAACTTGATTCTACTTTTTCTCTCACATCCTACATTCAATCTGTCAGCAAATCTTGTCATCTGCCTCTAAAATATGTCCAGAATCTGATCATCTCTTACCAAGACCTGAACCTCCGTCATCTCTCCTAGAGTTCTACTGGTCTACCTCCACCCACACTCCCCAACAGTGTTCTCCACAGAGCAGTCCCAGGGGCTGTGCCAAAACCTAAGTCACATCATCTCACTCTTCAAAACCCTCCCATGGCTCCCATCTCAGTGTAAAAATCCAAAGCTTTTACCATGCTCTGCACCTATTCCTCTCTTTTACTCTGTTCCAGCCACAGTGTCCTCCTGGGTAGTTAAGATATTAGGCAAATTTTCAACTCGGGCCTCTACGTTTGCTTTTCCCTCTGCCTGGATGCCTCCCCAGGTATCTCTGTGGTTCACTCTCTCACTTTCTTCAGGTCTTTTGCTCAAATGTTGCCTTCTCAATGTGTCCTTCTGTGCTAGTTAAGTTACTGTCTCTCAAAATTGACATTAGCCATTGTTTTTACTCTGCTCTCTCGTTTCTTTATTCATAGCCCCCGTCACCTAACACACCATATACTTCACCTGTTTATTGTCATTACATTAACCACCTGCCTTTTCCTGCCCCATAAGCTGCAGTAGAAGACTTTTCTTGTGGAGGGGGTTTCACTGATAGAGCCCAGGCATGTAAAGCCGTGCCTGATACATGAGCACTCAATAAGAAAATTGCTTAACGGATAAATAAGTAAAATTATTCCTGTCTCTCATTATCCGGAAATGTCGCGAATTAGGTCGAAACGCTAACCGTCTCCAGCTCAAATTATCCGGATAGTTCCTCACCTCAAATCGTTATTCCTAAAAGTCCATACTTTACTCGCCTAGGTTCTTTATTCGTAATATCGCTTCCGCTTAAAATTCATTTCAATAAGACTATTTGGTAAAGCCGCCAACCGGTTGTCTGATAAAGCTTTTCCCACTCCTGAACTCAGGAGCCATCAAAGCCCCACGCGCGTTCTCAAACTCAACAGGAGAAAAGTACCCCACTTGACCCCTAAAATCTCCGTCTCCGCGCCCCGCTCTACCCATCCCCTTCCACCGGTAAGTGGTCAAATTTACATCCTCCACCCACTCCCGCCGTTTAAGCCTCGGTGGCCTCACATGGTGGCTGGCGGTGGCTGCGCTCTCAGAAAGCTCCCGTCGCCTCCGCGATGCGTCCGCCTCCGAAGAGAAAGCGCGAGAAAGGCGAGACTTCCGCTTCCTGCGGCCCACTTCCGTCGGCGCCTGCGCAAACTCAACCAGCGGCGCGCCTGTAGCTTGTTGCCATAGCGAACCCGCCAGCCCCGCGCGGCGTTAGGGTAAAAGCCTTTCTTGCTTAATGGTTCAAACACATTCAGGACCATACGGGTTAGATGTTCTCGACAAGGAGAGAAAAACAAAGCGGGTCCGACTTAAACCATTTCGTTGCAGAAACGGCACAGGCGGCGGGAGGGAAAGGACACACCAGTTCCAAAAGCCCGCCGGCCCGTCCTTCGGGGACGCGGTCTCCGAGAGGCCAATCTGCTCCTCGCTTTCAGGGGTGGGCTCCGCCCCTTTTTCTTGGGGCTCGTTTACGTGTCTATTGATCTTTCCGACTGCGCGGACCCAATCCTTTGCCTACACCGGGGAGGGGCGTGCACCTGCGCCTGGGCGGCCGCGTGTTTTCCATGACTAAACGCTTCGCATTGGCTTCCTCTCCACGGCTGAGGCGGAGCCTACCCCTTTCGCGCTCCCTTTTGGGTTGTGCAACTCTCACGGGAACCGTAGGCTAAGCCCCAGGGAGGCGTGTCCTCAGGAGGGGAGTCCCCATTGGCTTCACTGATCGCGGGAGGGTGGGATGGTGCAGTTGCTCTTGTTGTTCATTGGTCCGGTGATTCCATGGGGTGGGATTTGGCTGGGCCTAAATTTGATCAGTGGTCTCCGACCAGTTTCTAGGAAAAGGTGCCATGCGTTCCGGGGGCCGCGGGCGGCCCAGACAACGGTGGGGGGAACACGGCCTCTTGCAGCCACCTTCACCGCCCAAACGCCGCCTGCTACCGCGGGCGCAGCTGTTGCCGCTGCTGCTGCTGGCGCTGGCGGTGGCTTCAGCGTTCTACACCATCTGGAGCGGCTGGCACCGCCGGACTGAGGAGCTGCCGCCGGGCCGGGAGCTGCGGGTGAGGCCGGGCGGGGGCACCGCGGGGGCCCTCATTCCTCGCCTGCCCTTACCGAAGGTCTTAGCTGGACGTGGCTTTATCATATGGCCCTAGCTACAGGTGCCGCCGTTGTGGTCTTTAGGATGCATGCCCCTTTTTAATGCAATGAGGCTTCGGGCTTGTTCTGTAATAGTGGCTCCCTTTTATAAAGAGGAAAGGTCTGTAGTCGTGAAACTGGGGTTTCTGGGTACTAGTCCGAAAGTCAACTATTTGGAAGAGTCCCCTTTTCTCTCTGGGCCTCGATTTCGCTATCACGATTGAGGTAGGCTGGAGCAGGATAGGCTTGGAGGGACTTTCCCTGTGTCTAGGGTTTATCCTAGAAACCTCCGATGCTGGAAGCCGTGATTAGGAAAAGGAACTGGGGCTTCTTAGGGGGCACGGCGCCCGGGGTAGGGTCAGAATGGGGGTTGCTCTCACGCTCTGCTCTTCGCCATCTCACCCCTCACCCAAGGGCCCGTTGATCGCAAGCCTTCCCGAAGCCCGAATGCGGAGAGTGGTGGGGCAACTGGACCCACAGCGTCTCTGGAACACTTATCTGCGTCCCCTGCTGGTTGTGCGGACGCCTGGCAGTCCGGGTAATCTCCAAGTCAGAAAGGTAAAGAGCTGCACCTAACCCTTCAGACCGCCAGGGAATGGGAAATAGGCATTCTGCGCAAGATTGCGAAGTGTGTGGAGCTAATCTTACTCTAGAGTGACTACCAGGCTGTATTGCCCTCTGTACTGCCCCCACTAAAAGCTTACTATGTGCTAGGCACAAGTAACAGCCCTATGAAGTGGGTACCAATGTGATCTTCATTATGCAGATAGGGAAACTGAGACTCAGAGCAGTTGGGCATTTTGCCCAAATCCCACAGCTAATAAATGGTGTACCTAGGGTTTCGGTAACATCTCTATATTGTCTCCCAGAAAGCATCAAGAGTCGTTTGAATACTGCCCGAGTTCAAATCCCACTTCAGCCACTTGGAGTGTGACCTTGGAGTAGCTTCCTAAGCTCTCTGTGCCTCAGTTTTCTCATCTGCGAATTGAGCCACTGATGATCCCAACCCCATAGAGTTCCTAGACTAGGACTTGGCACACAGTGAGTGCTACTGAGGAATGAGCTGTGATTAGTTTTGGGATCAAGAGGTGGGGTCATTCCACACCTGGCACTTAATAGATATTCAGCTGAAGTGTGTCAAAGGAATGATTCTAACCAAAGTAGGACTTGTGAGTCAGTCTGACTGCTCTGCATGGCTCAGGTTACATGGCTTTTTCCCTACATCTTCCTCAGTACCC